TTTTTTTTTTTTGTGGTACGCGGGCCTCTCACTGTTGTGGCCTCTCCTGTTGTGGAGCGCAGGCTCAGCGGCCATGGCTCACGGGCTCAGCCGCTCCCCGGCATGTGGGATCTCCGTGGACCGGGGCACGAACCCGTGTCCCCTGCATCGGCAGGCGGACTCTCAACCACTGCACCACCAGGGAAGCCCCCTTTTTGATATTTTTAACAAACTTCCTAAATATCAAAATCTGAATAAAGCTTTTTAGCCTCCAGCTGACTCTGAGATACTTCAAAGGAACATCTCTGAGACATCTCAGAGAGAGATGTCAAACTAATTTTATTTGGTATGTTAAGTTACTTCAAAAACATTGTCAAGTGATTGGAGATGAACCTTAGGTTATGGTGTATGCATAAATGTCATTTTTATAGATATTCCAAAATTTATATGGAATCCCTAATATCTGCCATGTCCTGATATGTTATCAATCATAATACTAGTTATTCTAAAATGTTATATCCAAGTTTCCTGCTAATTACATTGTACTCAAATCTTTAACCATGCTATTTTAAGTTTTGTCCTGATGCTTTTACAAAATGAAGATCTTCAAGAAGACTGATAAAAAGGAACTTTTTAAGAAATATAAGTTTCTGATAGCCTTTAGATAATATCACTGGACTGGGTAACATATGACAAAACTAATGGGAAACCTGATTATTTCATCCAGATCAATGGGAATTAATTACATGAGACTGAAAACATGGCAGATATGATTTATGACTTTGGGAAATATACTGACTTTAATCTTTGTTTTTCAGAAAAACCTTTTCTCTTATGCGATGACCTACAACAGGTTGATAAAGTATGCCTTTGTAAACAAAGACGAAACATTTATCTTTTTCTCTCTACCTGATCCTGCCAGAATTTTTTGTCTCCAGCAGGCTGTCCTGTGGACTTGATATTATGTTAATTATTGTTTGAATTTGTTCTTTATTTCCAAATTGTTTGTGCTTTGTGTCTCCCTGCAGCACTATGTCTTTGTCATTGCTACTAGCTGCATTACTTATATCCTATTTTATAAGATTGTTGTCTCTTGCAGTACCCAGTGTGTAACCAGGCCTCAAAACAAAACTTCTGTGGCTAAACATCTTAAGAAAATAAATCACTTTTATAACATAAAATAATTGTAATAATATGATTCTAGGTATGGGAAGAAGCAACAAGGGAAAATGTCTCCTGGATCATAATTAGAGGATCCAGAGAATCTTTAATTATCAATAGGGCCTAATCCAAAAATTAGCACCTGGAGTGGCATATCAAGAATCTTTGCCTGACCTGGGATGAGCCTCCCAGCACTGTGGGACAAAATTTGATCGTGAAATGTCTCCCAAATATTGGTCAGATTCCTGACCAAGAGGAGAGGATTAGTCATTGGCGATTGCAGCCCTCCAACTTGAGCTAGTGAACCCTGAGGAAACTCAGGAAGAAGAATACCTGCCATCTAGCAGCCATCAGACTGCAGCCACTCCCTATGGTGAGCCCTGAGGACACTCAGGATGTGAAAATACAGGATACAGGCTAAGATAGGTGTGGTGCATATCAAAGAAATGATTTCAGTGAG